GTAACCATTCCGTTTTTGAGTCGTGAATAACACAAAAGCAAGAGTTATCCAAGATTGACAGTATGCACCGTCGCGGTCCATGACATGTTGGTTTTTGTGTTAATCACGAATAAAAAATGGATAGTTACTTTCCGGCCAACTTAATAATAGAAGCGTACCCTATACGTGCACTTTGAGCTCAATTATCTCGGTTTCTATAAGAGATATCGAAAAAATTCAACTGATAAATTGTTTATCATAATCTCACCAATATTTTATCAATTGGAAAATTATTTATTTTCTTCACAGAACCGAGATAATTGAGCGCAAATGGGTGGGCTTCCACTACGGTATTTGCCACGGTCACCGGAGTTTCTCTTCCACAAATACGTTTTTTTTGTACCAGAACAATTATGCTCAAAACTTCCTTCAGAGTTTCCCTTCGAAAAGTGTGCAGATCCTTGCGAAATTTCATAGAATCGACTTCTCCCGATCTAAAATTGCCGTGTATTATCCTAAAAGTGTATGATTCGAAAATCACAATTAATTATGGAAATGATTTGAATATTCGATACCTGAAGTTAGAAAATGGAGTTGGTGTTGGTTTGCAAGAGGATAATAAGCTTACTGTTCTGGAAAACGCCAATTTGTCGGATGTGGTCATTGAAGATTTGAAATTTGCATTGACCTTTCAAAAGTCAAAAATGAAACAGTTCAGCTTACGATGGGATCTTAAAGAGGAATTCGATACTGGAGATTTTGTTAAAAGATTGGAAAACATTTTGGAGTCAAACTCCTTATCAACTAGAGCGTTTCACATGGAAGCTCATAACCAAACGGAAATCTTATCCCTCTTATCGAATCTTGATTCCCAATTACTTGAAGAATTATGGGTTTTTAATCCAGACAAACAAAATCCAGGAGGGTTCATTGATTTGGATCAAGTTGTTGATTTGGATCAATGGAGAAATATTAAATCGATTGGGATTCCAACATTTTCGATTTCTGAAAATTTGCTTCCAAAATTCTCTCATTTTGTTTGGTGTGTTTTAACTTTTGAAGAAATTTCGTTGGAAGGTGTGGTAGCTTTGAAAAATGTGCGTTTTTTGTGAAACTTTTCAAAATTTTCGATTAAAAAAAAATTAAAACTAAATTCCAGGCTCTGCTTCAATCACCAACGTTTCAAATCTGTGACTTCTACTACAAAAGTTTGAAAGCAACCGATGAACAAGTTGAAGAAGAATTTGGGGTACCACAACTTGAGACCAGAGGCAAAAAATGGTTTTCGAATATCGAAGGATCTGAACAAATGCTTGAAATTGTGCAAGAAAAAGGAGTATATTCAAGATTCCTTTTCTCAAAAACGAATCCAGATCCAGTGCTGGAAAATGAAGAAGATCAGATAATTGTAGTTTAATTTTTGGGCTTTATGAAAATGAATTTGCTTTTTTCTTTTGTTGTTTTTTATCGAGCAAACAGAAATGTCAAAAATCTTCAATCAATTTGTATCATTTTCAGATGGGTTATGGCTCTTGAATTAAGGCATTTTTTTCTCCGAGTACCGTAACTCAAGAGTCAAAAAATGCTCCAATTTCTATACGTTACTTTTTCAACTGTTTCGAATTTTCTAGAATAATAGAATTTCAGTCGATCGTGAAATTAACGTCGGGGTCCACCAACCGTCCGCCGACCGTGCGCCGACCAGGCGCCGACCGACAGCCGACCGATAGCCGACTACCGGCCGGCTGCCAGCCGACCGCCAGCCGACCGAAAGCCGACCGCCAGCCGACCGCCAGCCGACCGCCAGCCCACCGAACTCTTGCATTTTCGCGTCAACGTGCCAAAAAATGCAAAAATTGGGTCGGCGGTCGGTCGGCGGTCGCTGATTTTCGACCGATCGAGATGGTGCCCTTAATCTAGAAAATGAGAAAAAACTCCTCGAAATTTTGTTATTATAAGCCCTTCGAGGAATTTTATCGCCCCGAAAAAGGTATGCCAATTTTCGCATCATTTCTGTCATTTCCACATTTCAGTGCTAAATATTTTTGTTTTCCACCTGACTGACGCAATTGCAGTTTGATAAGAACCGCCCTTTCCATACACTTCCCAAAATTTACTGTCTGATAATCATTTCCGACTCAACCCCTCACACCCCCTCTTCCCCAACATATTCCTATCACAAGTATTCCAAGGAAAAATCCAAAAAAACTCGAAAAATTAGTCTTTAGAAAATTTAGGTGTAATAATCATAAAAATCAATATTAAAACCTTCAATTTTTAAAAAATAAATCAAGCTTTGGTATTCCAGATGCCGGATGTACGCGTAGAACAAACTCCACTATTCTGGCGGCATATTCCAATGATTTAGATGAATATGATGTGAATGTGTTGAGGTCATCTATTGTTTTCGATAATTTCATTTTCTATGGATACAGCATGTTTGCTAATGTCAGATTTGATGTTAAAGTGGAAGAAGAAATTCAGTATCATTCGGATCGTTTGTAAGTTTTTAAAATCATTTTTCTAATTAAATTGCCATTTTTTCAGTAGCTTCAATGCATCGATGTCTGCTCGTATGCCGGACCCGAGCCTTGGCTATAATGATACTACAACTGGAAGCGATGTATTCAATGTTCTACAAGTACCAAACCCTGAAACATTTTTCAAACCCTACCTGAAAATTTCAGAAATTCCTGCACAACAAACAAGCTCCAATTTGTGGAGCTCTGGTCTACATTGTTGCCAAACGCTACCCGAATGACAAAACTCTTACTGATCTTATCACTCAACTTCGTGATAACCATATTTTCGTTTACATTGTAGCTCACAATGTCCGATCCGGAGGAAGCAATCCGGAAGCGTTGTATGAGGTGGCAGACAAAACGAATGGGTTCTGCATTTTTAACAGTGGTGTCAACTTCTGGGTCGTGAGTCAAGAGTTCGGAAACTTTTCATTCAGATGGTTTTCTTTAGAGTGTCAGTGAACTAAGCTACGTCAATTATCGACCATATCAGTTTCAATCTCAAACATTCAATGTCTCGGGGACCGGTAGGCTGGAATTGCCGGTTTGGCAAACTCCTAACCCAACTCAATACAGTGAACAAATGCTGGTGGTCATTATTGTCCAAAATCATAGTAATACCATAAAAAAGTGTTTCATAATCAACTAGTTTTTCTTAGGTCTCTCCAATTTCATCTCCCTGAACTACACCATTGAAACTACAGATAAAATGTTCGTGTGGGTTGGACCTGATCAAAGTTCTGGGGTAATTATCGAAAGAAATTTGAAAATGAATCCAAAAAAATTTAGTATCCTCGATTTGGAACTGGAATTCTTGCTCAGCCTCAGCTCAACGGGTCCACCGATTACAAGTGGACCATTGACTATCACTACTCGAACAACGAGCCGCAACAAATTGAGACGAGACTCTACAGTAATTAGTAAGACCAATTTTTTCAAAAGAATTCAACAAAATGATTTATTTCAGCTATCACGATTTCCTCCCGCTTCCTCCAATGTGATTGTGTTGATTGCAATAAATATTCGAACATTAAATTACTGTTATTTTCATAGATTACAATTGTCAAAAAACAAAATAGATAAAAAGATTATAGAAGCAACCGCGTAGCTCAGCCATTAGCTGTGCGGCTCCTCTAACAAATTTTTTATGTGGATGTAGACCTACTAAAGTGATTATAAGTGCCATAAACCGGTGCTGGATCAACTTGTGACGGCGTCCAAATCTTGCAACGTAGTTTATAGAAATCTGAATTTGAATTTGTCCATTCACTTGGAAAGGTCGACTGCTCACTCTTTATAGTTTCCCTATACGGCTTAATGATTATCAAACTTGGCAACGGATCAATAGCAAGGAAAATCGAAATGGTTACTGTAAGAACCATTCCATAAGTCTCTTTTCCTGTCCCCAAGAAAGCGGCGATAAATAACAAGGTGCATGGAAAATGAATAAGTGCCACTGGGATGATAGTTTGGATTACCAGAAAATAAAATAGCTGGGTCTGAAGAGCATGAGACACTTCGGAGTTGTTTTTCATATTGGACAGTTTTAGTATGGAAAAGTAAAGATTCGTGCCGAAGTATGACATGGTGACGAAGGAAGTAGTCTGAAGAGCAGTAACACATTTTTTAAAGGAGAGGAGGCATGATATTTTTTTGGATGTTAACACTAATGCTAACAGTAATCTGTTAACACTGACCAATTGACACCGTCACTACGAAAAAATCTCCTTTCTCCCCTCCTTCAATGAACTTACAATTATTCCACATAAAATAGTCAACCCCGTAATTTGCGTCCAATCAGCAACAACCTCAGCAGTACTGGATACCGTTTTGAAGAAACTGAATCCAAAATAAGTAATCTCGCTGGTCTCGATATTTTCAGCACTGGCGATTTCTTCTCTAACAATAAAATTTTTTATAAATCATAATTCAACTTTTTGATCCATACCTAACAGCTCTATCAAGCATCTCATCAAAATGAAGACAAATATGAACTGTAATCGCATACAACAACCCGAACATAATCGGAAAAGACAACCATATACAAAAATTTCTGGATCCAGTAACCCATTGGGTTCTTCCCTTGACTATCAAGTACCGGAACACAAAATGAACTCCAAAGCAAGCCAGAGCAACACCAAATGAGCAAACCCAAATCACTGAAATGTTCTTCTGAATGTCTGTTTGTTAGGATGTCCACAACTCACAGAGTAAAGGATAAGAGATATTTAAAGGGATCGACGATCGTCTCGCATTCGTAGTAGACATCCAGTGATCATCTTTTGATCGGACTTCCTAGAAAAATTTCTCAATGTGTTATTATAAAATGTTTTTGATGTTATGATACACAATTGATTAGTTAACAACATTGATATATCTTTGACTGGAAACAAGAAAAATTGGCTCAAAATAAAAAAAAAGATAAAGACCCTTCTATTACAGGTTTTATGGCATTTGATTTTTTACCGGCTTGATAAGAAAATCAATTCCAGCGTAGAAGACTTCAAAAACCGACATTGATATCATGATATATTTATAGGTTCCCAACTTTTTTGGACTTTTGAGAATGATAAGAACAATCAGCAAACCATTCATAAGAAATGCAATGATAGCCAAAATAAACTGGGTGATAATAACGATTAGTGTGGTGTCGGACATTTTTTGGTGGATTTCAGGGGAAATGCGGAAATTTGTTTTGGAAAAAAACAGAATTGTTACTGGTAATGAATCTGAATTTTCTGATTTTTTCAATTAATTTTTTCCCATCATTTTTACAAAGATTTGCAGCTTTCATCTGAGAAAAATAAAACAATAAAAAAAAATAATTAATGAGAACAGAAATGAAAAAGAAAATATTTTTGTGAGAGATGTCAAAAAATATTAATGAAAAATCATAGATTAATGGAGTCTTAAGATATCGAACAAGCAGCTGAGCTCAAATGATTGCCACGTGGTGCTACTTTCAATGTCATCGCGTTCTCAATGGACGTCTCCAATTCTTCGTATCCTTCGATACTGTTCACATTCACATCTGGAATAAGGGAGGGGGTTGTGAAGGATTAACGTACTTGTACTTTGAGCTCAATTATCTCAATTTCTATTAGAGATACCAGAAATGTGTTAACTGATAAAATGTTAGTGATGTTATGAGAAACACTTTATCAGTTGACAGATTTTTGATATCTCCCATAGGAACCGAGATAAGTGTGCTCAAAGGTGAAATACAGGGAGGTGTTCTTACCGCAAAACCTGTAATACAAGGACCCCTAGCTTTCAGTGAGCCAATTTTTCTTGGTCCCTGTCAATGATATAAAAACGTTGTTTCCTGGTAAAATGTTCATCATAATATCAGTAGCCTTCCATTTGTTGATAGATTTTGATATCTTTTATAGGAACTGATATAATTGGGTTCTAACTTGACAATGTGGGAGCCCTTCTATTGCAGGTTTACGATACGTTATTTCTTCAGAACCTAAAATTTAGATTTTCTCACCTCTATCATGCTCCACAATCTCCCAAATACTCTTCTTCAAGCTCCGTGTCAAAAAGTAGGTCTCTGTGAGTCCCCGATCTTTCACAGCGATCCTCCCCCGAGGACTGAATTCAAATCTTCCCGTTGCCGATGCTTGTAGGTATGTCCATTTGCTGCATTGAATCTTCCCAGCCATTCCTTGACATTCCATCTGCGATGCCAACGTCACAGTTTCTCCAAACAAACAATATTTGGGAGACTTTGTTCCCACGACGCCGGCGACAATTTTCCCGGAATGCAAGCCGATTCTCAGTAAGAATGGATTCTTGGAAATTGGATCTACTACACTTCTCGCCTCCCACATCATCCCTAGCGCCACATGGCACATGTTTTCAGCGTGCTCCGGAGTGTATTCAGTGATTCCGGACACCGCCATGTAGCTGTCGGAGACGGTCTCCACTTTGTAGACACCTCGGATTACAATGATGCGGTCTAGCTTTTTGAAAATCTCATTTAGAATCCGCACGATTTCCTTCGGCGAACTTTGAGGGATGGTTTGTTGGAAAGTCGGAAGGTCACAGAACATAACAGTGGCATCATGCTCAGCAGCTTCGATGTGCTCACCTCCCAATAATTGCTGAGCGATCCGCTTGGGCAGCATGTCCTTGAGAATGGAGTCAGTTTTCTGACGTTCGATTTCAAGTTCCCGAGTCATGGTCTCCAGTTGCTCATTGTTAGCTTCCAGTTGTAGATTGACTTCAACATCCGACAATCTCTGCTGATTCAACAATATCAAATCTCTGGTGGCATCATGCAACGGCATAGCTGTCAATCTCATTCCATACTGCATCAACTCATTGATAGAAGTCACATATGGAGAGCAAAGGTAGATGATGTGCTTCTTCGAAGATAACAACATCATCTGACCTTTAAGCTTCAGATGGTGTCCTTGGGTAAGCTCATTGGACTTGTCGTCTTCCAAAGCTTCTCTGAAACGAAAAACAATTATTGGGTACTTATTTTCTACTTACACTTCTTGTTTCAGCTCCTCTTGACTCATCGCATCCATTAATTTCTTCTTTAATGGGGACGTCTTCACTTGGAGCACGAACACGGCGTTGATAAAATTGCAAATGTTTTCAAAGTCTAGGGGAATTTGAGGTCGATTGATTTCGAAAATCCGCAAAATCGGAGTGCCAGGTTGCAAGAGCTCATTCGGAATGTGATTGCTAAATTAAAATCTAGTCTCTTGATTTTCTTTTTGTTACAAGGCTTACTGTAGCTCACTACCACATTGTACCAGCTTGCAAGACTCATCAATGACAAAGTGATAAGGAAGTGCTCTTGAAAAATCGTCAAGGCTCATTTGAAGAGTGTCATCTAGAATTTCGGGGAAGTTGGAGTTGCTTGAAGTGAGCAAGCTGGCGTGAGAGCCATCGGAGTCGCGACGGCTTTCTCCAATGTTCTGAAAAAAGAATTCTGTACTTTAAAAGCTTACATAGCAACCATACCTTAATCAAAAACACCACATGCTCTTCCACCCTCTCTCCATTATTCATGTGCACACTTCTCTGAGTTCTTCCCTGAACAACAAGGTTGATATCCAAGTCGAAAACTCTTTTCGCCACTTCTCGAACCACTCCCTTTACAATCGGATACAAACCAGGGCGTCCGGTGAAATAATGAAGGAGAAGGTCGCCTTCAGAATTCTCCTCGCATCTGAATGATGGACCACGAAGGTTTGCTTTATAGACAACATGGTCAATAAAGTAGTGGAGACTGTCTAGGTTGTCAAGGAAACCTTTGAGATTGGGACTCATACTTCGGACCAGTTCATCCCAGCCGATTTCCATGGAGTAAGTGATGAGGAAGGCGCCGTACATCTCCCAGACTTGGTCCTTGGTTACTTCTGGAAAAATTGAATATAAGCTAATATTCTTTAAAGTTTTGAAACAATTACTTATAACCAGGGATACACTATCCACCAAAACATAGGTATCAGTATCCGAGTAGTAGTGATTCACAATATTTTCCTTTCCATTTTCAAATCCTGATTTCTCCAAAACCTGAATCCACGTGTCTTCTCCATAGTTACGGCAAATCAGTTGGCGGATACTCTCGTGAATGAAACCAAACTGAAATCATCATGAAATTTGGAAAAGAAGTTGGATTGTAAAAGTAGCTTACCATTCTATAGCTTTATAGAGATCTTCTCGGAAGTCAGGAAGAAGATGTCCGAAAAATGAGGAGAAAAAATGGGGATACATTCCGTGACCTGAATGAATTTATCACCTCCCTCCTTCCTCCGGAATATGAAATGCTGTGAAAGAAGTTCAGGAAAACGAGACAATTTATTATTCATAGAGATGGCGTGAGGTAAGTCGATAACATAAAACTTTTCTAGCGGAAATTTCTATTTTGGGATTTTAGGGAGTCTACGCCATTCGAACCAGTGTTTTGTAAAAAGTGAACTATTCACTTTAAAAATTTCAGAATGGAAGGTTTGACTGCAAAAAGCGCAACTTATTTTTTTTCAGAATACTCCCAGATAATTGAAAAAAAACTGATTGAAAAATTCTATAGTCTTCAGAATTTTTTGAAATTGTAATAATTAATCTTCAAATGTCATCGAGTATTTTCCTACCATCAAACCATTTTTTTTTCTTTAATTGTTTTTCAGAGGTTTTTTGTAACAACGATAACACATAATCCGACTTTGCCGCCAGTGATTTATGACACTAATAATAATTTTAGTAGGACTACATCCACATAAAATAAGGCTGAGCTACGCTGTCGCCTCATGTAATCGTTTTATCTGTTCAGTTCTTTGACAATTTTCAATTTTCACGAAAAAAATACATTTCAATGAGTTCGAATATTTATTGCAATTTATCACAACAATCAATCACATTGGAGGAAGCGGGAGGAAGTCGTGATAACTGAAATAAACAGTTTTGCTGAATAAGAATCTCAAATTATTAGTCTTACTAATTACTGTAGAGTCTTGTCTCAATTTGTTGCTGTTCGTTGTTCGAGTAGTGGTAGTCGATGGTCCATTTGTAATCGGTGGACCCGTTGAGCTGAGGTTGAGCAAGAATTCCAGTTCCAAATCGAGGATACTAAATTTTTTTGGATTCATTTTCAAATTTCTTTCGATAATTACCCCAGAACTTTGATCAGGTCCAACCCACACGAACATTTTATCTGTAGTTTCAATGGTGTAGTTCAGGGAGATGAAATTGGAGAGACCTAAGAAAAACTAGTTGATTGTGAAACACTTTTTTTATGGTTACTATGATTTTGGACAATAATGACCACCAGCATTTGTTCACTGTATTGAGTTGGGTTAGGAGTTTGCCAAACCGGCAATTCCAGCCTACCAGTCCCAGAGACGTTGAATTTTTGTGATTGGAATTGGTATGGACGATAATTGACGTAGCCTAGTTGATCTACACTCTAAATAGAGAACCATAAAAGTAAAAAATTCCCTAAATTTGACTTACGACCCAGAAGTTGACACCACTGTTAAAAATGCAGAACCCATTTGTTTTATCAGCCACTTCGTACAATGCTCCCGGATTGCTACCTCCTGATCGAACATTGTGGGCTACAATATAAACGAAAACATGGTTATCACGAAGATGAGTGATAAGATCTGTGAGGGCTTTATCATTTGGGTAGCGTTTCGCAACGATGTAGACTAGAGCTCCACATAATGGCGCGCGTTTGTTGGTCAGGAATTTCTGGAATTTTCAGGTACAGTTTGAGAAATACTCAAGATCGTTATACTTGTAGAACATTGAATACATCGCTTCCGGTTGTGGTATCCTTAAAGCCAAGACTTGGATCCGGCATACGAGCAGTCATCGATGCATTGAAGCTACTAAAATGGTATACCGTAAACACATTATTAAAATGCTCCTCCCCTATTTTCAATTTTGGGAGCATACATGTCAGTTCCTGTAAAATATATCAAAAAAGAGCCGACTGACAAAGTGTCCAACATAACATCAAAAACATATTGTCAGTTAATCAATTCTTGTTATTTTCATCTGAACCGAGATATATGATTTCAAAGTTGACAGTCATTCTATCAGAGTGTTTACGGTATTCTGACAATATCATGTGAAAATGATTTCACCAAAAAACTCACAAACGATCGGAATGATACTGTATTTCTTCTTCCACTTTAACATCAAATCTAATATTAGCAAACGTGCTATATCCATGGAATATCCAATTATTGCTAACTATAGATGACCTCAACACATTCACATCATATTCATCTAAATCATTGGAATATGCCGCCAGAATAGTGGCATTTCTGCTACGCGTACAACCGCCATCTGAAATACCAAAGATTGATATTTTTTTTTAATTAAAGATTTCATTTTATTTAATTTTTGATAATTACACCTAATTTTTCTAAGACTAAGTTTTCGAAATTTTTTGGATTTTTCCCTGGAGTACTAGTGATAGGAATACATATATTTGGTGGAGGGGTGTGAGGGGTTGAATGGAATATTATTATCAGAAGTAAAATAAATGGGATGGGTCAGAAAAAAGCGGTTCTTATCAAAATGCATTTGCGTCAGTCAGGTGGAAACGGAAAATGTTTACCTTTTAAATGTGGAAATGACAGAATTAGTGGGAAAGCTGTGATAATTTTTGAGGACAGTGCGCAAATTCTGCTCTGCTCAGCTGGTAGCAATGTGGTACCTGCAACGGTGAGCAGGTAAGATGAGCTTCCCAAAAAAACTAAATTGAACAGGATTTTGAAAAAATTATAGAAAAACTTCAGCAAAATGTTTTATGTACCAAGTGAACAAAATCACATCATTCAACTAGATTGGACACCTATGACATTGAATATCTTTTCAAGTATCTAGTATTTTCTTTTTCGATTTTTGGGTTTGTCACATGTCTAATCCATATTTCATTTCTTATACAATGTTCGAAAAATTATCATTTTGCAATCTGCTTATCAGTGATATGTGCGGCCGATATTTTATACTTGATAAGCTCTACAGTCGTTGAATGGGCTCAAAATTATCTTTGAATCTTTGAACCAGTATGCCTCGTATATCGGGGAGTGGATGATATTTGGAATATTAGTAGTTCAAGTTATCGCATTAAAAAGGACTGGTTAGAGAATTGGAGTCGTAAAAGGGCTCTTAACGTTGTTAATATTACTGTATTCCTCGTTTCTACAGTCTTCTGGATTACAATATTGTCTATAGTTCTTGTTATCATACAACTACCGTATTCTGAATGTAATCAGGATAGTCTTCTTCAGAATTATATCCAGAACAATTACAATTTTATCGCAAACTTTGCTTATTTGACAATGATGCCTGAAACTGTTCTAGAAATTATTAGAAACGTTATTGGAATATCTTTGGGAATTTACCTATTAAAAAAAATCAAAACAACCAGTGATAAGGCAAGAAAGAAACTTTCAAAACTAGTTTTTGTCTTTTACTTGACAATTATATGCCCAATTATACTTCTGATAACTTATGTTCACATAATGTTCCACTGGGAAGACGATCTCAAATTTCGAGAACAGTCAGGGAATTTGTAAAGTATTGAAAAAAGATAACATTTCCAGAAACCAAATTTTTCTCCAAGTTGAAGTAACACGACTACTCTATGCTTCTGCTGCGAGTTTTAGAGCGTTTTTAACCTTATTCATGTGTCCCGAGTATCAGCTGACTGTGAAATCGTTTTTCATTATTGGTGGAAATTCGGTAATTTTTTATTGAATTTCTTGTTGAAATTGTTTTGTTTCAGGTTGCGCCAGCAAGGAGAATTTCCGAGCGATTGACATCTCATGATACAGGATCAATGCCTAAAATCAGTTCTTAATTTGTTTAGAAATTACATCTATTTTTGAAAAGTAGTGAATTTCACAGCGCTCCAAAGAAACTGGTCAGAAATCGCGCCCCGGATAATTTCAGAGCAAAAAAAGTGCAGAAAATATAAAATAAAAACTAATGAATAAAGTTTTTTTTTTCGAATTTTTCATTGTCCATTTTCAAAATCGCTCCACCAAATTGCCTCTAAATTGAGACAAATCTCCATCATTGATTCGACTGTTTCTAGACCGAATACAAGTTTTAAAAATGTTTCCTCGATTTAAAAAAATTAAAAATGACTTCAAATTCCTTCTATTACATCCAAGATACGAAATTTGGATAACGATCGGCAAAGATAAAATGTCCAATGTTTTTTGCAAAAAAAAAGTCGAACTTTGAGATTGATCGAATGGAAAAATGAACAAAATTGAGGTATAAGTCTGGAAAATATTTTTTTGTAATTGGAGTTTTTTTAAACTTACAAATTTCATTATTATAATAGCCAATAGCTGCCAAAGAATGTATTTTTGGGGTTTATTTTTTTCCGCCGATGCCAAATGTTTGAATTTTTGAACGTTTTTCATTATTGGAATATATAGAAGTCCAGAGAATAATAAAAATATATTCATGGATATATAAGCTGGCTGAAAAAAAACTGAAATTAATTTTTTTGAAGCTTCCAGAATTTCAAAAACCAATATAAAATTTCCGGATTTAAAAATTCAAGATCTTTGTATTTCAAAAAATTCTTTAAAATTAAAAATTTAATATTTGATTAAAAAATATTCGAGAAAATCAGCAAATTCAGAAAATATTGTGAAATTTAAAAAATTTAAAAACTGGCATTACCATTCTCCAATCTTCAAGTCCCAAAATGATTGTATCCAATACACCAATTCCATAACAAAATTTCACAAGATTTATTGACAAATTTTTTGAAGGTTTTATGAATTTTTCAGAAACCGAAAAAAAATGAATTAAAAATCGTTGTATCGCCAAGAATGATAACAAAAAATAGCAAACTTGAGCCATTGCAAAAAGAACATATACTGTGCACAAATAGCTGATGAATAATAAAATATTAAAATTAGAATCAACATTTTCCGAGGTTTCTCCATATAAACACAGTGATGGAACCAAAAATATGAGCAAAAAATATACTAGTTTTATAATTTTATAGAAAAGTGAAACTATTGGAAAAACCGACGATTTTTGGTCTTTTTCCTTGTTCAAATTGTAGACATAAACGTAGAATGGGAAAATTAAAATGAGAAAAATAAAATAGGAACAAAAGAAAAAATTTAAAAAATCAACCGGACCGAAATTCCTATCAGAAGAGGTACCGTTCATTTCTTTTGTTGTGAAAAAAATATTTAAAAATTTGCTGTGTGCAAAAAAAAAAACTACAAAAGTGTGACATTATTGCCAGGTAACTTTTTTCCAGTAATTTTTTTCAGCTGTCAAATTTTCAAATTTCATAAACCAACGATTAAAGTTTAATGATTTCACCAATTGGAAAATTAAAAAGTTTTGATGGACCGAAAATAAAAGACTGCGAATAAGAAATTAGTTAGCAATAGCTATACAAATTTTAAAAGTTAATCAAAAACAAAAAAAAACTAAAGCATTAGTAACCTAAATTTGAAAAAGGTGAAAAACTATTCGTACCCTCCAATTTTTTAGAATTTCGGAATTTCAGGAAACATCAGGATTTCTGGGAATTCATGAAAATTTGGAATTTATGGAAATGCATAAAAATTTTGAATTTTGGGAAACTCATAAAAATGCAGATTTTCTGAAAATTAGTGAAAATTCGGAATTTCGGGAAATGGATAAAAATTCAGAATTTCTGAAAATTTATGAAAATTTAGAAATTTCTGGAATTCTTGAATTTCGTACTTTTTTTGGATTTTTATGGGAATTCGGTAATATTCTGAACTTTTCTATTTTTTCCAGAAAACTAAACTTGCGAAAGCGAATCTCTGAAGACTGGGGCAAAAAGATGCGTCTTTGACACAATTGCTCTATTTTTTCTAGCTCTTTTTTTTTGAAAATCTGTTTCCCATCCTGAGTAACCAGTTTCAAAAAAAAATTCCATGTGAAGCTTAACTATTTTTTTCGTGACTGAACATTGATGAGTTATGTTTTCGCTTTTAAAAATCTGTCCCAATGTCATAAGACCAAAGTTTACATTTCCCATGATGTCTGTTCATCTTCTTGCAGTAACAGCCTAATAGATTTAACGATAAGAAACTTTCGTAGTGTGTGTTTTCTGTTTCCCCACCTCAAGACATTTGTCGTCGGGGCACAAAACAAAATGCGTGCATGTTTTCATTTTCAGCTGTTGTCATATGTGGTATTCCCATCTCGCAGGTGGTTTGAACTCTGTGATTCTTTCGTGACTTCCTTCTAGAAATCCCGTCTCTTTTCTTCTACACTTCCGGGTATTCTAAGAGCCTCAGACTATGTAGATTAGATTTTCGCCTATACAAAGCCTAATCTTAGTTCCGGGAACATTTTCTCTGTCCTAGCTTTTGTCCTGCTCTGTCCTGTTCTAATTGGAATGATCTCTGAATTAGACCAAGTCCAAGTGTTTAAAGGGAATCTGAAATTTTTTGTTCTCTGTCCCAACTCGTGGACTTGTGCTCATGTTATGTCCAAACTTCCTGATTCGTGACTTTCTCTATCTACACTAGCCACTAATCCCACCTGATTTCATATATAATAAGAACTCTGAAAAAAAAAGAGAAAGGAGTTTTTGTTTGTACCCGTTTTTGGTTTGTCTCTTCGTCTGGCAGGAGGCAAACGAAGATAAAGATCTCCGAGAGAAGAGAATCATACCTTTCGTTTGGGTATTCTACACTTTTTACGAAAATTTTTAAAGGATAGTGGCCGTTGTGTTCCCCGTCAAGCCGCTTGCTTTTAAAGACAGACTACCTACCTGTAAATTGTATCTTCTTTTTTTTTTTGAAGACTTACTTTTGAATTTTACATTTTTGGTTTTCACATTGAAGTTAATTATTTCTTAATTACGAAATTTCGAAGTTCGACTTTTCTTAATTTTCGAAGTTTTGATATTCTAAGGTTCTGAGATTCTGAAATTTCAATAGTAAGATTCTGAAATTCTGAATTTCGGAGATTTTTCTAACTTTTTTGAGTTTCTGAAATTTCGACATTCCAAGATTCATAGATTCTGAAGAAAGGCTGAAATTCCAAGTTATGAAAAAATGAATTTGGAGGTTTTCCAATTTTTTTATTTCTGAAATTTTTATATTCTAGGATACTGAGATTCTGAAATTTCGAGATTCTGAGATATTTTAGATTCTGAGATTTCTGATTCTGAGATTCTGAGATATTTTAGATTCTGAGATTTCTGATTCTAAGATTCTGAGATTCTGAGATATTTTAGATTCTGAGATTCTGAAATTATAAAATTCTGAAACTCAAAAAAAAACTCAAAAAAAATTCTGAACTTTGTGGAGTTCAAAAAGCTTCTATTTTGAAAATTGAGTATTCGAAAAGAAAATCTCTGAAATTCGAGAGTTCAAAATTTCAGGAATTCCATAAGTTTTTTTTTCAGTTGAAATAATATCAAGACTTGAAAAATCGACAATAAAAATGAAGTATGAAAAATTCCTAGTCTCTGACTTTTTTTAAAATTTCGAATTTCAGAACGATCATTTACCGTATTTTTCATAATTCCAATCTTTTTATCTCTTCAATCAAATCCTCTCCATTTCTGTTTTTCAAATATTGCTTTCTCCAAGTTCAAATAATTTTCTAGCCTAATTTCTAGCTATGAATTGGGTATGCACACTTCCTCTGTTTTATGTATGTACTCTAGTTATGCTTCTCCATTAGTGAACCAGAGTTCTCACACCTTCTTAATCTCTCGTACGTATGTGAAATGCGCTCTGCTCATTTGGTTTCACATTTAGGGATCAAAATATCCTCGCTTCGAGGGGGAGGAGCTAAGATTAGTCCTTCACTTTCATTTAGAAAATTTGTATATAAACATTTCACTTATATTCGTTTTCCTTTTTCCTGTTTAAAGCTCATTAAAATTTCCAGAATGAGCCTGAAAGAACTGCTCGCTGAGCCACAACCAATTTCATGCAAAATTTGTGATTTTCCGTCTCATGGAATGCATTTTGGGGTCATGACTTGCAGACCGTGTGCTGCGTTTTTCAGGTAATTATAGTAAAATAATTATTGTCCTGCTTATTATGATTTCAAATTCCAGAAGATTCGTGGTGCTCAAGCTGAACTACGCATGTTTACAAGACAGGGAGAGATGTAGTTTGAATAAAATTCGAAGGTAATTTTAAAAAAAGTCCCATTTAAAAATGAAAAGTAACTACAGAAGTTCCTGTCGTCACTGTCGATTCCAAAAATGCCTTCAGATGGGAATGAGTGCAGAAAGTGAGTGGTTTTGGGTTATAAAATTCTGAATTTCTGGATTTCTGAATTACTGAATTTCTGAGTTTCTGAACTTCAGATTTTCAGAATTTTAGAACTTCAGAATTCTCGAAACTTCGAACTTTAGAATTTTCAGATTGCTGAGTTTTCGAGTTTTAGAATTTTAGAATTTTTCGAAATTTTATTTTTGTAGTTTTTGGATATGTATCTGTTTTTTAGAATTCCGAAAACTTGAATTTCTGAATATTAGAATTTCATGAATTTCCAACTTGGGAGATTCGAGAAGTTCCAGTTTCTGAATTACAAATTTCCAGATGTCCAACTCAACCGTGAAGGCAATACTGCACTAAATCTTTCCAAAAAACAAGACCCAAAAATTGAGCCGGAGATGATCATTCAATGCCAGGCTGAGCCGAGTACTAGTCTAATGCCGGTTATAAAACTCGAGGTAAACAGATTCCTGATAACTTTTGAAAGTTATATCATTTTGAGGATCAACTCTACACAAAATCCATTCTCTCCGAAATCCGTTATGACAATCTTTGGAAGGATATGAATGAGATTTTCTCCTCGGGAATCCCATCCACAAAACACGGACATTTCGCAACATTAAGCCCTTTGTATAGATTTGTGGAAGGTCTTAAGCTCGTTCGGAAACCCCAGCAAACCGAGAGAATTAAATTTGAGAATCGTCTCTCTATGAATACTCTAGTCCCCCACTGGAGAGCTCAAGCTAGACACACCGCCATCCTTTCAATGCATTCTATGGCATTTCGTAATATTAAATCCATGGCTGACAAGACAATGATTTATAAAGCAGTTTGGAGGAATATCTATCGATTTGAACGTATTCAAATGTCAACTGAAATCTTCGGAGGAAAATGTGTAAGCGAGAAGAAACTTGCAATTTCCTGTGAGAAGGCTATCCAGCTGGACGCGTTGTTCTTTGATCTTGAAGGAGTTGCCCAGGAGAAAGTTAAACTTTCGTTACAGTAAGATTCAGAAGGGATGGTATGAATTCTAGTGTTGTGAGTTTCAGGGACTACAAAGCGTTTGCCGAAAGGTGTGTGGAAGAAGTCGCCAAGCCGTTGAACGAGCTATGTCCATCAATTGAGGAAGTCGCATTTTTGATATTGAACTTCGTTTTGCATAATGGTGAGTACCTCTAGGATTCTGTTAAAGGGGTCAAAATGAGGATCGCGGTTCCTTACGACGGCCTATAGTAGGTATTACAGTGTATCCTGTAATAGAAGACCCCCCCCCCACACTGTCCTGTTTGAGCTAATTTATGTCGGTTCTTGCGAAAGATACCAAAAATTTGTTAACGGATAAAATTTTTTGACGTTATGATAAACACTTTATCAGTTCAAATTGTTTCATACCGTGGACAGGATCCTAGGTGAATTGGCTCAAAGTTAAAAGTCCGAGGCCCTTTTATCACAGGTTTAGCGGTTTGTAAGCCGCATCACGTAATAACCGTAAAATTAGTAGATCGAAAATTCGTAGAATGAAAAAAAAAAGTTTATAGTCTGATTTTTACAATTGGAATATTTACAATGGATCAGGACCTCAAAAAGCTGGAAAAGTAAGCCGCGGCCTTTGAAGGTTATCGTAAATGCTCTTCCGCACTTTGAGCTCAATTATCTCGATTTCTAGTAGTAAAAGTACCTTTCTGGCGCAGCTTTTTGCCCACTTTTCGACCCTTTCTAAAACACCCCAAAACACAAAGAATCTTATCCAAATCACCCCAAATCAAACCAATATCGTCCAAATTTCAACACCCCAAAAACCCACCCCTCCAGACCCCTAAAACAGGACCGCCCATCCTGCCCACTTTTTTTCGACAAAATGTGACTTTTATTTTTTGGTGTTTTTGAGACAAAATATTTTTGTGAAGCCTTAAATTTTTAAAAAAATGAAAAATGGGATTTTAACAAAAGTAAAAAATGTGACTTTTGTTTTGAGGCGTTTTTTTGAGACAATGACCAACTTTTCCTCATTTATTTCTCCAATTTTTTTTCCGATTTTTTTTGTTCGCCCACTCGAAATTTTTTTCAATTTTTCTTGCATATTTCACACCTCATTAAGACGTCGACTGATAAGAGAGTCGTATTTCTTATCGTGTAGAAGTGCCTATTCTTTTTTAATTCTTTACCATTATTATGTTTTATTAAATGTTGTGCAAAGATTTGAAACCGTTAACAAATATAGATTTATTAAAATTGGCAACGGATTTACAAATTAAAAATTTTCGAGGAGTTTTTATGCGCGACACTCTTCCTGATAAGCCTAAAAAATTGGAAGTAGGTGTTGTAAATCTTGATAGTATGAACAACAAAGGAACCCATTGGGTGTGTTATAAGAAGGATATGCATAATTTATAATATTTTGATTCTGTTCCTAATAAATGGAAATCAAGCACAACGTCAAAAAACCTAACATCATTCTCGAACAAACTTTTTATAATCCTGAAACTGGATTCTGTGGTATCAACGAACTTCAAAGAAAAACTAAAATACCAATCAAAGAAGTGAAACAATTTCTCAATGAGCAAGATGTGTACACTCTTCACAAACCTGCAAGAAAGAACTATCAAACCGAAAGAGTTTACATTCACAACATTGATGAACAATGGCAATCCGACCTTGTTGAAATGATACCATATGCAGCTGAAAATAATGATTTTAGATATCTCCTGACAGTTATAGATTGTTTCAGCAAGTATGCGTGGATGGTCCCACTAAAATCTAAAACTGGTAAAGAAACTGCAAGCGCTTTGGAAGCTATTTTCAAAAAAAGAAAGCCTCAGAAAATGCAAACTGACAATGGAAAAGAATATTACAACAAAGAGATGAAAGCTCTTTTTAAAAGTTTTGATGTTCATCATTTCTCAACACATTCAGACAAGAAAGCTTCCATTATTGAGAGATTTAACAGAACTCTGAAAGAAAAAATGTGGAAAATGTTCACCCATCAAGGCAATCACAAATGGATCAATATTCTTGATAAGCTCGTTTCTGGATACAATAATCATTACCATCGTAGTATAAAAATGACTCCAACTGAAGCTTCCAAGAAAGACAACGTAGATCAAGTCCACGAAAATCTATTCCCATCAACTGAACCGTTAGAAGCTCCTCTCAAAAGTAAATTCAAAATTGGTGACACCGTCAGAATAACAAAATATAAAGCCATTTTTGATAAAGGATATTTACCCAATTGGAGCACTGAAATATTCAAAATCACAAAAGTTTATCCGGGAGAAGTCACAACATATTCTATCAAAGATTTAGCCGATGAAGAGATCAAAGGAAAGTTTTACGAGGAAGAACTAACGCTATTTAATAATGTAAAAGAAGAGTATAAAATTGAAAAGATACTAAAGCGTAGAACTAGGAAAGGAATTAAAGAAATGTTTGTAAAATGGTATGGATATCCCGAGAAATTCAACTCTTGGATCCAAGATATTTAGACACTAACAACTTTCACTCTATTATCTTTGATTTCAACAATGTTCTCACTCATAACCAAACAATAACACTTTGTGCTTTGAATAATATTTTTCGAAAAAGTTGCTTTTATTGTAACATCAGGTCTAGATTGAATAATTCTATCATTCTGTTTAGATACATCAAATACTAATAGTGGGTAATAGTAATAGTAGACATCTTCTTCCATAAAGATATGATCCTTTGTTGATTCATAATAACTGTTCCTAAACTCTTTTGCAAAATTGTATTGCTGCACAGCATTAAATTTATCAAAATCAAATTTCAAGCAATCATGAGGATATCTCTCTGAATTTAATTCTACATAAATTTCCTCTAATCCACAGTTGTCAAATTTACTTGCATTCAAATAATTATTATCTCTAGCAGTTTGAAAAGCAACCACAATGTACTTTATCTTGTCATATTTTGTTCCCAATTTCCAGGTGAATTCTCGATTTCCATTAGGAATGTTGTAGCTCTCCAACTGTCTAGAAATGAAAGGCATCTGAATAAGTTTGCTGCTTTCAAAAATGTTCATTAGTTTATTTTGCATTTCAAGGCATGGAATAATCTTTGGAATGATCCATTGTAATTTTTTAATTTCCAACTTTGCAGTAAATTCTTGTGCATCTGTAGAGACGATACTATTCTTGTTTTCCGGAGATCTGTAAAGTGACAAGTGATGTTTTCTTCCATAGACAATTTTATTGTAGCACTCTGCAAAGCCAAAGATATGAGTCAACGGGATACAGAATGTAATAACACCCTTTCTATTTTTTGTATATTTGTTAATTTTGTAATTTATAATTTCCTTTGTTTCTAAAATCCAGCCAAATGTATTTTGCTTGTTCATGGTACTGCTATAAGTCAAAAGACCTTTCATCAAACTTGCTCTCCCAGGATCCATTATACTTTCAACTTGCATTCCATCCATACTATACGTTGCTCTATCAAACAAAAACATGGGAGCATTATTCGTCAAAGATACTTCATCAGTTTCTGCCAACGCAGTATCGTCTGGTTTAGTGAGATTTACTTCCATGAGAATGTATGACTTGTGTAAATGTAGGTACTGGTCACACATTTCTATAACAAAATTAATTTCTCCATGTTGATTCAAGCTAGATCCTGAAGAAGGAAATATGCTTATGAGATTCTCTTTTTGAATTGAAGTATCGCTCACAATAGGCATATCAACTACAAGCATTTTGTCAACAGCTTCTATCATTGAGCTAATTTAAAACCTGAAATTTTATAAATAATATTTAGAAGTACTAAATGCGCATATTATCGGTGTTGATATTTTTGAATGTATTCAAAGAAGCATTCAGCAAACCTATTATCTGCACAGATAACTCCCCTGTTCAATATTTTAGAATCCCAAAACTACACAAATGTAATTATCATAGAATCCTTAACTCGAAATCAGAACCAGTTCAATATGAAGTTTTCAAGCCAAACATTATTGAATACATTTCAGATGCTAAACTTTGTAAAAAATTAGTCAGTGAGGTTTCAATGTATACTGACTTCTCTGGATATGAACATACAGTAGAAAAAGAATTGAACAACTACCCCATCACACTAGCTGAATGTAGAGAGATGATCAACAATAAGAAATGTGGATACGGGACTTTATCAAAAAGTAGTTCTAATACCTGGAGTACAAATAATAAAATTGAGGTAGATTACCCAAATAGATTCACAAGCTTCTTCTCTCCCAAAAGATTCCACAAAGAAAATTGTATAGTTATTGAAACAAAAGTTTACTCACATTTCAATCAATCTAAGCCAACCAATATTCTGGCAGATATGAATAATTGTAAGTATCAAGACGGTTTCTGTGAGATCAAGAAAAATGAAATCATCACTTGGGATGTCAACAGAGATCAGAAATGCCAATTCATCTCTATTGGAATACTTGATGGGATGTACAATAACAAACTTTGGGTTAACAATAAGAACCAAATTGCGTTAAATTTTGAAACACAGAAGATTGTGAATGATTGTAACATAGACTTGATGATTAGTGATGAAGGATTTGCTGTAAGAAAAATTAATCGAGCCCCTTCCCAATATCCCCCAAAGCAAATTCCTATCTCAATTGAACAGGAAGTTCAAAGACAACAACAACATGATATGAGGAAACGTGAACAAGAAGAACTCAGAAAACGTGAACAAGATGAAATCAAAAGACGGGAACAAGAAGATATCAGAAAACGGGATCAAGAAGATGCTAGAAGACGTGATCAAGAAAGACAAAAACAGTATGAAGCAGATCTGAAAGATTTTGAAAAAAAGAAACAAGAAAAGCTGAAGAAGGAAGAAGAACTCGAGAAAAAGAAACAGGAGAAAACTAAGAAAGCTCAGGAAGAGGCTGAAAGAAAAGAAATCGAAGCATTGAGGAAACAACGGAAAGATGAAGACTGGACAGTTCATGATGAGAAATCGAAAGGTGTAGACAAAAAATCCAACAGAACCAAAAGAGAAATCTTCCAACCATTACCATTACCAAATTATGATGAATATTTGAAGATCAAACAAGACTGTGAAAATTTCCCAAGTTATGAAGCTTTCAAGAATAGTCGAGATGGATGTGATTCGCTAACAACCTATACAGATTTCATTCACAAAATTGCCAACTTTGAGAAAGAACAGCAGTTGAATTCTTCCACAGATGAAAAATGGCAGCCACTACCTTTCCCTGGTTACGAAGAATTTCTGAGTATCAAAGAAGATTGTGACATTCTCCCAAGTCATGCCGAGTACAAGACTATCAGAGAGAGTTGCGATGCATTCCCAAGTTATACAGAATTCATCAAAAGAATATCTAATTACGAACTGTTTCAAACTGGAAAGCAACGCAGAAAAAGAGAATTGTACTCCGACTTCCAAGCAGCAGGAGAATTTCAATACCTAAAAACCAATCCAACAACCTTTTACGACATACAACTGAAGTAATGTGCGATATTTTCAACGAGCAAAATGAAGTTCTTGAAAGTCTCATCAGAGAAAATCCAAGAAGATTTATTCAAAAACAGCTCAACCATACAGCCGTTAAAGTAAGATTTATCGATACTGAAGATTCTAATGGAATTGTTCAAGTTACATTCTGCAAAGAAATTGATGAAGAAGAGATTGACTTTTTAGACATTACTCGTTTCGATGGATACAAATTAAGTATTGCTCTCACACTCGGACAAATCCCAATCAAGATTAAAAGTCTTGGAGATAAAATTTGGTATTACAAAAATGACAATTTTGGAGGAGTCATATCCAGCAAACCACAACTTCACCCAATGATTGATTTTAGAACCAACATTACCAACATGAAAAGCTTCAAAGAATTTGATTTGAAATTCCTAGATGATAAAGTGATTTTCCATGAACACATTTTGTTAGACTTGAAGACCAACATTGAAGAAGAACTGATCGAAGAAATGCGAGAAAAATCTGATGTCTCTATTCAAGTACATGCCAGTAACCAAGATTCTACTTTACCTCACGAAATATTAGACGATGTCGAAGGATTCTTTGGAAAATGGTGGCTTAGAATTTGGAGAGTTGGTGTAACACTCGGAGTTGCTGTAGTTTATATATTTGTGGGTAGATCAATTTGGATGATACTTTCACCCAAAACCTTTATTGATAGGAGAAATAATAACAGAAGAAGAAGAGAGTATGAGGCTGTAGAATTAAGAGAAATGGTACACCGCCCATCTGTTCAATCTCTCACTGTTGATTAACTTTTTTATTTCAAATAAATGAGATTTTTCTATACAAACGGTCCAGAACAGGCTAAAACTGCTAGCTACGTAATAATAAGTCCTAAAGAAAATGATAAAATTGAATTGGTAGATAATCATAAAGAATCGTCTAAACAGGGTGTTCCCTCAGAACAATTCAAAGATTTAGCAGCTGAATCATCTAAAACAAAAGGGTCCGGAAATACATTTAATAGCAAACCTAAAAAATCGAATTCACAAAAAATAACAAAAGATAATAACAACTTTTTAAAGATTCTCAAAAGTGGATCAGGATTCAAAAGAATTTAGAGAATGTGTAACTCTATATGAATATCACAATCATTTGTTTCAATAAGATTATTATTTTGATCAACAAGCTTCAAAGTTAGTGTGTTACAAGCATTTAAAGTTTTATGATAGATCAAATTTATTGGTTCGTATCTTATCTTTTTGTCTTTACCAAACTTGCAAATAATGTTGCTTTGTTTTTCGTTCATGAAAGAGTCGCAAATAAGGTTGCATGATAGATATACGAAATTGTTTTTATCATTATTCAATGTTCCTTCTACTTTTAATAAAGCAATCGAGTTTGCTTTGAAATTCTGAGGGAACTGATAAGATTTCTCGTTTGAAGTCAAATTAAGAAAGAGGTGGACCATTTATTAGCATTTAAATTATGTCGAATGATTTTAACGATTATTCAATCAAAAATTTTTATTCTATCAGAAATAACAATCCTTTACTACCTAGTTCAATAAGAGCTTGCATCATAGGAAAATCTGGATGTGGGAAAACCAACTTGTTGATGAATTTACTTTTAGACAAGTTTGAAGGAGTTGATTATTTAGATTATGACAATTTGTACATATTTTCTTCTACGTTGTTTCAACCATGCTATCAAGCACTCATCAATGGGTTTGAAAACGGTTTAACTAAAAAAGAAATTAGGGAATGCTTTAGGACACAGAACTTTCTCGTTGATAGGAAGGTTGATAAGAATGATAGAAAGGAAAAGAAGACCATCACTATTCACTGTTCAGAGAGTTTAGATGATATTCCCGATCCTAGCTCAATAGATCCTAATAAAAAGACGTTGATAATATTTGATGATTTGATGTTAGAGAAACAAAATAAAATAGAACAGTATTATACACGAGGTAGGCATAATAACATTGATTGCTTTTACATTTCTCAAAACTATATCAAACTTCCAAAGAATACGATTAGAGAGAATGCTAATTTGTTTATTGTTTTTCCTCAGGACAAGTTGAACTTGGACTATATTTATAGAGACCATTGTAGTGAAATAGATAAACCGAAATTTATAGAAATGACTCTAGAGATATGGAAAGATAAATATTCCTTTTTGACCATTGATAAAAGTAGTGAAATGGATAGTGGTAAATTTAGAAAGTTGTTAAAGTATTTTCTATTGTTCTAGATTATCTTCGCTTATCAGAGAGAGGTTTTCCGTTTTTCAGGAACAGCTGCAGAAAGTAGATAGTTAATTTTTAAATGTTTTTTTGTTCCCATCTTCAACAGAGTTCAACGGAGTTGTGCCCATTTCAACGGAGTTGGACTTCGCCAGGGCTTTTAGCAGGACGGTTTGTCATAAACTGGGGTGTATATTTGACACCTATCACTGTCATCAATTTTAACAATTAAAAACCAACTTCCAGCCCAATAACTAAACTGCTTTACACCTACTTTCCTCGAGACATAATCCATAATTTCGGGAGAGTTGGGACATACTTTTTCAATAGACTTTACAAAAGCTATATTATCAGGCGTCATAGCAATATCTATGAAACCATAATTCTTTACAACCAATAAACACTTGTCAATAATGGCTAAAACACTGGGAAGCAGTTTTCTACTTAAAGCATCATTAGTAGTAAATCGTTCAGCATATTGAATAATAGTTTTAATTTCATCGTTAGCTAAAAAATTTTGAAATGTTAGAGTCCTTGTATTAGTAGAAGGTTTCCAATATGAAGGTTTGATTGATGTATTGTGCTTTGGTCTTGGGGGTATGGTCTCTACGTTACGAACAGTTGGCGCATTATTAACAGCCTCGACTCTGTTTCCAGCACGAATACTTTGTTGGAATCTTCGGAGTTCATTACGAAATTCGTGAAGAATTTCATCGTAAATTCCCTCTTTATCACACAGGCCTCCAATTAAAAGAGCTTTCTTAATCACATAACCAGCTAATAAATTTGTCGCAGTGGGAAAATAAACTTCTAGCAAGCTATCATTTTTTAGCAAATGCACATTGATAGTTTTACTATCATTTGTGTGCTTCCAATACCTTTTCATCATTTTATGTAACACAGAACCACTGCCTTCAAAATCGTCAACGCCATATATATGAATATTATACCCATCTTTATATAATTGAGTAAGATTTGTTTTTTTAACCTTATAGACGAGGTTGGGGGTATTATAAGATACCACACAACTACTGGAATGTAAGAAATTGACAGTTTCCAACTTGTTTGAAGACTCAATTTCATATAAATAACACATTTTTCGAAGGTTTGTTGTAGAGCGCATTTATTAAGAGGTTTTCCGGGAGTGGTGGTTGAGAGGGGGCTATGTTTTTTGTCTTATTTTATTTT